CGTAATTATTCGCACAACCTTCACGTGATCGTAGCACTTGAGCGTACTTATTTGCACCCAACCCTATCGTACAAACCACAATAGGTGGTTCCGACTTGTGTGCAAGCATACATGATGAGCTATAGGTTCAACCGAACAGGTCACGTTAGGTGACTCCAGCTGACATATCATTTTACATTGATTTATTTCACCTGGCTTACTTATTTCCATGCTGAGACACTTGACATGACATATATATATATATATATATTTTTTTTTTTCACTACTCTTAAGCGTGATTTTTATATACGTATGTATTATTATTTTTTGGGAAACTATAAGGGTTTTACAGTGAAGGGTTATTACTTTTGAAAAGAGAAATGGTTTGAAAAGCTTTGTTTTTGCCCACTCACTTTTTCTGTTTTTGCGCCCTTCCAGGTTCTAGTTAGAAGTTCGTGTTGGTGGCTCACGAGGATTCAACAGCGATTCTGACATACATCCATCAATGTAGGATTTTCTTTCATATCCTGTATACTTAGTATTTAGCCTGTTGGACTACACTTTGGTACCTACACTTTAATTATGTGTATCTACACTCTAACACTTTCACTCGTACTTATATACTAGTCTAGTGTAAGTTAGTTAGTTTTGATTTTTTTTGTTTATTTACCCATATTATCTTTTCACCTTCACTTCTGCACGGCGCACATGGCTATGTCACCTTCACATGACGGCCAGCATGCCTCGATTTAGGTCGGGGTGTGTCACTATAACCCTTGTTGGGCATAAATGCTCCCTCAGTTGGGTTGAGTTAAGCTTGTTTATCCCCCTTTTGAGTTGTAAGGCTTGAGGGTTTTTTATTATTTGTGAATGCTAAGAGTTCACATGTACAAGTTGTACCACTCCTCACCTAGTTGGTGGAAAGAATGGTGAGTTGTTAAGGCAAAAATGTTTATTAATAGTACTAGTTGTACTCTTTATCGCCTGTTTGGTGATACGAAGGTGAGTTCCCTCATCACCTAATTGGTGATAAGAGTGGCAAATTGCCGAATGATATTAGAGTACGGGTTATACATTTCATCACCTGGTTAGTGATACAAAGGTGCGTTCCTTCATTACCTGGTTGGTGAGAATAAGGGCAGTGCCAAGGCACATTGTAGCAAGTGCCGAATGATAAAAAATATGTTGATACCCCTTCGAAGCTCAGTTGGCTTATATATGAATGTGTTGAAATGTATGATGTTTATGTTGATTGATATGAGTAATGCTTATGAAAGTTTTGCTATGCATAAAGGAATCCATGTTTTGGATATGTGAACCATGTTGGTTGTAACACTTAGTTTCACTTACTTTGTGTCAAAGTACGCATGTTGAAGCTCTGAGTTAGACTATAAAGGTAGGTCGGCATAGACTAAGTGTTCCAGTGCTAGAAATGTAAAAGACTCAGACGAAGTTGTCTGATTCCCTCTTCCTTAAATGTTTGTCGAATGGCTTGTGTTACAAAAGATCTCAAACGGCTGAGGGTCAAAACATTTTTATGTGTATGCCTTTTTATAATAGCATTTCCTTCAGCACCTAGTACCCCCACTTTGAAAGAACGAGGCTTAACCCCATGGTCATAATAGTTGAAGGTACATTCACCCTTGGTTGTCTTGATATGAATCTTTATCCCTTTTGTTATAATGAGCTTGCTGAGAGTAAAGATCTTTCCTCTTACCAAGAAAAGAATATGTTTGGTGACTTAGTGAGTAGCTAAGTGAGGCAGGATGCAATGGGTGTCTGAATAACCAAAACCTTCTCACTTGGTAGAACTTGACTTCCACTCTGCACGTGTTGATAAGGGTTAACCATATGAGGGTTCCCTTGGTATGTCCTTGCCTCGACAAAGGCATGATTGTAAGCTTGCATCATTACCTCAGAGTAAGTCTTCCAAGTGTTAACATTGATCATGTACTTGAAGAAGCATTCACACATACCTATTGTGAAGGCCCTGAGTGTTGTTTTATCATCTGCCTCAACGCAACGAGAGTACTTATGGCTAAAGCGACCGGCATATTCACGCAATGACTCGTCCGATTTCTGACGAATGGTGTATAACTCATCAATGGAGTGTAAGCGATCAGCTTGGAAGATGTGTTGAGCCATGAAGAGTCTTTTTAGCTCAGCGAAAGAATCCACAGTTTTAGGTTGAAGACAACAATACCAATTGAAAGCTCCACCAGAGAGAGTTGAGGAGAATATGAGACATCGTTCCTTATCATTATGTCTTTGGTATGCCATGGTAAATTCGAAGACGTGGATATGCTCAATTGGATCTTCCCTCCCAGTATATGATTGTAACCCAAGCTTTTGTTTGTTTTCCTTGTAGAGGGGTGCAAATGATCCTTCTTGTTAGAGAGTCTGGCCTTGGCTGATTCCAGTCAAGTATTTTAGCCTGACACTCAGCCTTCAGCTTGTTCACTTCTTTGATGAGTTACAAGATAAGGAGGTCCTGAGTGATGTTAGGCACCATTAGAACTTTTCTTCGTAAGTTTCTCTCATTCTTTGGAAGTATGGAAGTTTGGTCAAAGGCATGTGGCCTTTCCCTGGATTCACCGTACTCGTTTCTAGGACGTGTCTATTAAAAGTCCCCCCAAGTCTCCTACACCTTTTTGTCCCTCAAAGGCTTGTCGTTCCTTTCTTGGATTGGGGGCTGGCCTACGTTGTGGTAGAGGATTGAGCCCTTTGATGACCTTTGGGTCTTTGATCATTGAGCTTGTGTGGATGGTGTTTTCTTGACCCTGCCTCAAGAAGTCTCGATAGTCGCAATAAACAGTTTTTAATCCTTCCACTCCTTCTGCAAGGAGGTGTCTCCCTCCACTCCTCCTACTTCGAGTCAAAACAGCTAGGTTGAGAGAAGTCTCATGTTGATCAACACATTGATGAGTAGCTCGCTCCTCATTAGGAATATCCATGTTGAAGACCAGTGAGCCCCCAGGTTAGGGGGTACCCAGGTGATGGTTGACGTCCATAAAGGCAATGGGCTCGTGTGACTGAGTATGCATAGCCGCATGGAGCATTTTGAAGAGCTTATCATACCGCTCTTAGAGGATTTCATTCTTCATTGCTATCTTGTTGTTCTGAGCCTCCAGCTCTTCGACTTTAGCTTTGAGAGAAAACTTATTTCATTCCTTCCTTCACTGCCTCACACTAGGCATAAGGGGAGTGTCGTTCTTTGTGTTGTGGCTTTCTTCGCTCCCCATGTTGGAGAATGATGCTTAATTGAATGAGAGTGTACAAACAATGGAAACCAGCTTGACAAAGTTGGAGAGAGAATAGGAATAAGTGTCTCTTCCCACAGACAGCGCCAAATGTTGATGCACAAAATCAATGAAGACTTTGGAACAACGTAAAGTTTCAAGTTTGTGACCTTTGCTCGGTTGCTTCGGTCACCTAGTGAGGATAGTATGTAAAGAGATACAGATAGAGAAGCAAATGCAAGATGTACGTGGTTCACCCTAAGTTTGGCTACATCCACGAAGTAGAAGAGTTCTCATTAATAGTGAAGGGTTCACACAAATACATAGGTTCAAGCATAATCATCATTAATGAGTTCTAATGACTAGTTTAAGTACAATAATGACATTACGGATTAACTATAGGAGAATAGTCTTCTTTTATAGTTGAGGAGAGTCTCCAACTTTTGTCTGCGGTTGATGTGGGACTTTATGAGCTTTATTCTGACGTTGACATGTATCATGCTATAATTGGCCTCCTGGTTGGAAGGAAACTCTTGTGCTTCGGCAAAGGTGCCTCAGCATGAACCCCTCAGTGGGTCCTTGAAGGTATGACGTTGACCGGCGCTTGATAGTTTTAGGATTGGTCAAGTATACAAACAACATTGGTGATATTACGTCATACTGAGTTGGTGTCACATGCTAGATCAAAGGGGTCATAATTCATATGGTCCGTAGCACTGGAGTCTATGATCAAGTATTATCACTGTTCACATGTAAAGCATAACCACATTTACCTAAAGACTTCGAGATTGGCAATTGCATCCCACACTTGCTTCACTGTTGGTAGTCAAAGAAGATACCCAATTAAATTGGAGTTCCATAGAATTAATTAGCCAACCTTTCATGATGGCATTCTATGTGTGCCATATGGTGAAAACCGGATTATCGATAGGAGGTTGAGGATTACATTCAAACAAGTATCCCAACTTATCTTTGCTAACAACATCTCAACAATTTGAGACCAAACTCCATAATTGGCACCGTTAAGTTTGATGCCAATTGATGCCGTAGATGAATCGTGATGGACGATTTGTGTGACAACTTGTCGGGTTCATGGTAGGACCTTAGGATCTCTGCTCTGATACCATGCTAATTTGGGCTAATTTTGAATTTAATTTTTTGATATTATTCATCCTCAAATGTGTAAAATATATAGAAAATACAAATACACCTTAGTTACTCCTCATACACTGAACAAAAAGTACAAGAGTTAATGAACCTATGTATAAGATTCAATGAATCCAATTGTTCAATAAACCTGATTAACATACCAAAGTCGCTTTAACAACTTTCTATGAAAGATGGCTCAAGCGACTTTTGTAAGAGAATATTCAACTCACACCAACAATTGCTACTAGCACGGATTCATTGGTACACTAGTGTCATGTGCCTATGAAATAAAGATGTGTTAAGTTTTTTTGTCCGCATAGATGTACTTTTGCCATGAAGTTGTTCATGACACTGTTGTAACAAATATTGTCCAAGTGGTATCACCGGTGCAGTAGATGATTGCCATGTGTGCACCCTTGCAAAAGGTAACTTCTTACCAATTTTTCTTCAATCAAATTAAAATGCCCAACCGAAAATGTATGAGAAGAAAGAGTACAGAGACACTATTTTGTTCCTGAAGGGAAAGGCAAGCATAACAAAGTTGTTCTAAGCTTTACAAAAGCAACTGATATTTAAAGTACAAAACTTGTTAAATAATCTACCAGCTATTATTTATATCCCAATTTGGCCACCTTTAAAGTGCAAAACTAATTAAATATATAATTACATATCAGCTCGAAAATTCGAAAATCTGTCTGATACAACATTATACAACAATTATGCACATCCCAGCAGCCCAAATTTTGACCACAGAATGGCATGTCAGGCTCTTAGCTATAAGATAATTACAAAACAAATTACAATGTTATGACTGCAAGCTGCCTTATACAGTCATCGACCTGAAAAATGACGACACATCTTCAATATAACTACATTCGGGAATGTAATTTTGGGACTACTTGAAACAAAGTCGCAATAGCCAACCTAACCGAACAGAGTTACAAATCCAACTCTTATTAAACTTTGGTTGAATAAGCCCCAGTGCTCAGCTTCTAAAAAACCATCACAAACCTGTGAAATGGTAGTTCAGGATCATATTTGTTGCTAGAAGAACCATGATATAGTCTGCATTCCCAAGATCGACCCTAATTCTCTTCAAGGATCAGAAAGTTGACTTGTAAAACCATGAGCTGGATTTCCCTCCACTTGAAAAATGCAACATAATATGTTTATAAGAAAGAGCGGAGTGCAAGTGTCTTTGTAGTTACAAACAGCAATCACATTTGGTATTCTATTCTATTCTTGTACATTAATCGAGCGACTACAAAAAATTTCAAACAGTTAACGGGCAGCTGTACTCACCCATTTGGTTTCTCTAAGACCCAACTATATCATATGGATCATATCTTTTTCCTGTTAATGATGTGGTAAGATCCATTAACAATATCAAAGACAAGGTTGGTGGGTTTGACCAAGTAATCATCCCGGACAAGCTTTGATTTAAGTTCTCCCTGTTAAAGTCATTCAACTTGTTGCCAAAATTCCCATACATTACAAAACACGAAGACATAAAACTACTTATTTACTTGAGCAGAAAAGGCATTTTGGAGCCATGACCCTTTAAGGACGTTCAACACTCAGCTCTCTTTTCATTTGAAACCTTGTTTCTCTATCTCAACTCTCATGGATGAAGAACTAAAATGATAGATTGTATAAATAGAATAAGCTTCACTCACCAATTGTTTAAGCAGTTCCTGTTATTAATCTCTCCCGCTCATCGAACTTTTTCACCTTTATGAGGCCAATGAGAACCTGAAGACCAAAAAATGCACAAAAGACATATGCTACAATGGCAGGAACCTGAGAATAAATAGGTAGCATCAGAATCGAGCTTTGAAGAAAATCAGACAACAGGGATTCAAACACAATGCCATAGGTACCAAAAGTAATTTGATAGCTTACTCGAATGGAATTAATATACAAGATTGTTGCGAGATTTATTAGGCTTCCAGCAGCAACTGCCTGCAAATTAGTCAAACAAAAGATCAAGCCAAGTAGACATCATGCCATTATAAGATTTAGCAGACAAGAGAGACGTTCAACTAGTTGAGCTGTAAATAGTACATATCAGTAAAGTAGGAATTTTCATATAAGCTTTAGCAGACGAGAGATACAGAACTATGCACGTGCACCTAGTTCAGAACTGAAGATGACTCAGAAAAGCAATCAAAACCTCTACTCTACTTCCCAAACTGTCAATGTGCGTCTTCTGCTTTTTTATTTTTCTGTTCGGTAATAACTTTTTTAAATGCCATTCAATAATGCTACAGTTAAAACTGATTTATTTGATTTCTAGATATGGTACCCCCGTTGTTGACGAGGAAGCGTTAATGTCAGTGTCATACACTTATGAGAAAATGCATCTAAATCATTAAAATAGACCCCTTCCATGCTTGCGGATGTGAGTAGGACCAACCACACCTCAGTATGGCTTTAATATAATTTGTATTATAACTAATGGAACCTCATAAAGAAAGAAAATTCAACTCACAACTTTCTTGTCAGATTATTATATACTGAAACAAATTCCAACAAAGATAAGTATCATGTGTGTATGCCATTAGGTCATGAGTAAGTTCAACCCACATTTCCAACAGTCTTCTGGACAGTTGCAACCCGCTGGAATGCCCTCTCAGATTCCAAAGCCCGAACTCTAAGCTTCAGATCACCTTGCTCCTATAAATAAACAAGTGGCATCCACAACTGAGAAAATTATAACAAGCTATTCAATTTATTCACAGATAAAAATCAGTTGGTACCAATCTTTGTATAATTTCAGCAAGCTTTTCAACTCTGTCAGCCTGTCTAAATAAGTTATACAACGCACGAGACTGCCTGTCCCATCTATTTCTGAGGTCCTGGAACATTTATAAGTTTAGTGTAAGAATGGGGTTTGTACTAGAAAGATTGTACAATATGAAATTTAATATGGATGCTAAGAGTTTGCCTTTATAATGACTTCAACTCCAGCTTCACGAAATTTTAGCAATTCCAGTGCATAGCTACAGGGCAGAGTGTCCAAGACTTGTCAAAAACAAGGGGAAGTAACAGTTACCAAATCTAAGAAGGTATTTATTTTACAACTTTGGGATGGTTTTAAAGCTAAATTACACTCACGGTTTGGCTATCTCAGTAATGTCAAATCGAGGATCAAGACCCTTCCCAATGCCATCTAATACTGAAAAGAGAGAAAACAAAGAAGTCCATTTAGGAGGATATACACATATAAATATATGGGTCTCTTTGTTCAACTACAAATAAACACATTACATCAGCAATGTAAAATGCAAACATATTTACAACAAAAACATGTCCACCATGTTTCTATTACGCTACCTGAAAATGCTCTAACAACAAATGTGAATGTCGCAGGAAATCTGAAGGGTTGATCTGCTGCAATGGCTAATAAATCTTCCCCTGTTAAAAGAATGCAAGGTACTGAGTATCAAACATCAATGCGCAGTGGAAAATTGCAAAAATAGCCTATGGGTTGCATCAATTTAGTATTGACAACAATCCGGGAAATCCAGCCACTGGACAGAAACCAGTTAACCCTTGATTACAGTTGGAGCCCAGACTCAAATTTTACATTGTTTAAAAATGGACATTTTAGCATAATCAAACTTGGTGCATAAACATGTTTAATTTAAGATACCCTTAATCAGACATCAAATTTAAATAGCTCAGGTGGTTGAGCTTACACCAAAGACTTAAAAACAATTTCATGTGTAAGGTAGCCACAAGGGAAACCCAAAATATTATTTCGCCATTATCGAATAAATGATAATAAGAAACATGTTTAACCAGATTAGAAAATACATGGGATATGAATAGTGGACCTGGTGTCGATGATTTACTTGTTCAAGTGTAAACCAAATAAAGTATGAGGGTAACACCACGTACTAACTTATACATCCCTATGGACTGAGAATTTAAATTTTGAGTTGATCCTGTCTAAGCTTGACATGGCATAAATTGGTCCCAGTATAAATGCAGCCAAGAGAAAGCTCACCAGTTCTTATTCTCTAAATTAAACAAGAAGCTGGAGACTGTAAAGGAGTACAAATCATTTCTATCCCACAAAAATGGCTTTCAATATACTCATTTAGCATCAAAATTTGTGCAGGACTTGACTTAAGCTCTAATGCCTGACATAGGTCTGGCAAACTGAAAAGGTCAGCCTCCAACTCTTCCATTAAATACTGAGTTGTAAGAATCTAAAAACTATGTAAGGTAAGAACCTTAACATAGATAGAAGATTTAAACAAGGTGAATTACCAATTGCAGCCAGCCTTTCTTTCTTTTTCATTATCTTTTCCTCCTTGCTCAATGGCTTTTTAAACCCAAGCTCTGCTGTCGCCAATTCTTTCTCCTTTCTCTGTGCAGCAAGTCGCTCTTCAAAACTGCAAAATTTGAGCATTAGAAAAGAACTCCAAGGCAGAATAAAAATTTTGGAACTACCAATCAAAGTTAACATGATATGTTTAACTTAAGACCTTGCTTACAAAACCAAGAAGAGTAAGCTGTCAGTCAATCTAAATTACACCCCAGCCCGTAAAACAATTGACAACTATACGAATAGCTCCATTCCAACCATAAATAGTTTCCATCATTCAAACTGGAACCAAAAACTCCATTGGAACCATAGCTGATACAGTGCCTTATCTAGCACCTCGCAAGTTACATATTACTAGTAGACGTGTATATAATTCTGATTTGCCAGAGGCATTATTCCCCAAGTAGCTAGGAAATTCCTCAATACCAGGGAATTTAAATTTTGTACAAAAAAAAAGAAAGAAAGCCCGAACAAATTAATTAAGAAACGAACAATGGAACCATGCAAATTCTATTTAAATTTCCTGTTTTCTTCTCTATCAGAAGATTCAGAAGCACCTGTTAAGAAAAAATAGTGCTGTTCGTCTGACAGCTGTCATATCTCCAGTAGGCACAAGAACACCCATCTGAATCATTGCCTGAAGGACCTGCACCGGTATAATTAATTTCCATCATTTAAAGATCACAACCAGGCATTTGAACCATGGTATAATTAATGTAAACTAACTGTAATTCCAATTGCCTGATCAACATGGTACAATGAACCGTACTTAGAAAATAGCAAACTAAAAAGAAAGGACAAAAAGATGAAAAAACCTTATCTGGATCCTTTTCATAAACTCCATAAAATGTTTCCAGCAAACCTTCTCTAATGTTTGGGCTGATACTGTAAAGTATAAATATGAAGACACATTTAAAAATAAAGAAAAACTTGGAGAGCAGTGATTGGTAGATTGTAGATTAGCAAACAGAGTCAAGGAAATACCTCCCCATCATTCCAAAATCATAAAAAATCAACCTTCCACCATTGACATCATCCACAGCAATATTTCCAGGATGCTGCATTAAGAGGAAAATTGTGGAAACAAATTGGCAGGGGATATTAAAAGCCAGGAATCCAGAAATACAACAACAACAACAACAAAACCTTTTCCCACTAAGTGGAGTCGGCTCCAGGAATCCAGAAATGTGTAATAAAAAAACACGAGGACTACAGCTTTCTTATGTGCAACAGAAATATTGATCCCTAAGGGGGGAATCAGAAAAGCTCACGATGGGCCATCTTATAGCTATTTGATTAGAGCACATATATAAGTAGAAGTCCCAATCTGACAGCAATGAGGGATTGCTTATAAATCTGAGCAGGACATGTTTCTTTTTACAATTACGGTTTCCGAAATTGCCTTTTGGACTACAGACGCAGCCATGTTTAGTATTTTACTCCAGGACGTGTAAGAGAACCAAACAAGGAGGCCATATTGTCAAATGTGATGACCATGAATGAGGAGTAGGTATTTTCTCATGTACACCCACAGTTCTGAGATTTTCCCAGTTTTCTAAGTTTTGACACCCAAATCATGCTTTAGAACCACAAATTGAATTAAACAACAAAAACTCACAGGATCAGCATGAAAAAATCCATGAGACAGAATTTGTTCCAAGTACGATTCAACAGCATACCGGCCCAGCCTGAGGAAGTCAAATTGATAGTGGAAGCATCAGGAGTGATAAGAAGACGTCAAAAGTTAACAAGTATTTACCCAGGCTAAGAGACAGAAACGGTACTGACCTTTGCCGATCAAGGCCCAATTGATCTATAGCTTGTATCTTGTTAATCTTGATCCCCGGGACATACTCCATTGTCAGAACCTAATAATAATATAACGGAAGTTGGATTTAATGAACAATAACATCTAGAAGATCAAAAGTCATTAGTTGTGAAAGCTCAAAACCTGTGGTGTAGTGTATTCCCATATTATCATTGGGACTTTGACATAATCCATGTTTTTGAAGTTACTTGCAAATAGTTCAGCATTCGCAGCTTCCTTGGTATAATCAATCTCCTGGAAAACTTTATAATAATTAGCTATGATTTACGGAATAGTAAAAAAAAATTGTATAAAAGAAGGCAGCTTTTAAGATTAAAATGTTTTGAAAATAAGTTATCAACAATTTACTAAGCACAGAATGCTGCACGTGAAAGATGAGCATAAACTATCCGTTATTATTATCATTATCTTTACCATTTAATAGAAAACAAAAATCTATGTTTAAAAAGTCTAAGAATACTGTCAAGCTGTGAACAATAAAATTGCTTTCTTTTCAAGAAAAAGAAGTCAGCATTCAATTGCCTTTCTTTATCTTTGTTGGACTGAACCATCTATATTATTGACCTCTTTTCCTGTATGTATCACCTAAGTTCCCTCACATGACTTCATCATTATTACTCCATGACTTCCTACCAATGTTTTAAAAGGCTCGCCTCAGGGCGCGCCTAGGCGCCCTGTGACGCTGGGCTTGAGGGTTGCCGCCTCTATTTTGAGGAGGTGGGCGGAAGGCGCCAGAAGGCATCACCGGAGCCGCATGCCTCAAGGGATCTTTTTTTCTTTTTTACTCCCAAACCCAAATTTCAGGTAGGGTTTTAACTGCCTCATACCTCTTCCTTGCACTATTGTCTCTCTGCCTTTTTTTCTGATTTTTATTTTTTTATATAATGGATGTGCGTGCTGCCTGCGTGCATTGTTATATGTGTGCTCATTGAGCTTTTCATCCTCTATTTTATATATATATATATATATATATGTATGTATATATATATATATGTATGTATATATATATATATGTATGTATGTATGTATATATATGTGTATATGTATTTATAATATATGTGTGTGCTCAGGGTGATCATTGATTAATAATCTTCTTCTTTTTTAATATAATATATGTGTACGCTTAGTGTATATATTAAAAAATTTAGGTCCCGTGAGGCTTCGCCTCATGCCTAGGTTGGGCTATCCCTCGGACGCCTCGCCCATGCCTCACGCTTTTAATACATTGCTTCCTACATCCTTACTCATCCATGTCAATATCCTTTGACTCGACATGGATGACATCTTATTCCTTGAAGCATGGTTCAACTTATTACGTAGTAAGAAAACATAAGCCACTGTGGAGAATGAGACCTTTACCTACACTAAACAAAAAAAGCACGAGTTATGTGCCCTTTGGCTCACTATTTAGTGCCAAAATGGTTAAAACAACGAAAGCGGATCTCAATACCTCATATAAGACATTTGCACACTCATCATAGATAGCAACCCAATCCCTCTTCGCACCATCTGACTTTGGGTCAATTTTTTGAAGATATTCTGCAATTACCTGAAAAGAAAATGACAATATGACAATGCTCATCAGAATTTCCACTGCCCTCACAAGACCAAGAGGAACCAAACTGAATACACAAGAAATAATACACAAGAAACAACCAAACTGAATAGAAAGAATATTATGAGATCTAATTATACAGTTAGCATATTAAGTGAATTAACATTCAGTACCACTTTTGAAGATCCCACTTAAATTCAATCTTAGCGACAATATCGCTTTTCTTGAGTCCCTTTTGAATGATTTGACCATAAGCGGAGAACATCAAGCGGAAATTCACAACTTTGGCAGGCCAAGGGAAGCAAGAAAAAAAAAAGAAAAGAAGAAACACCAAAAAAGAATTCAACCATGATCAGACAAAACCATGATATCCTAAACTAGCCCAAACATTATCCATGACCTCAGCTCAAGTAGCATGGATCCGTAGGGTGAGGGTAAATGGACGTTCAAATCTTCTAGTGAACATATACCAAAGATCCCAAAATTAATAGTACTAATCAAGAACTGTAATCCAATATGAGAAACCGACCCTCAGGTTCTTAAGATCAATATTGAAAAGATCCTTAAGTCCAGGCCTCTGTACTTTAACAACAACTTCCTGTCCTTTCAATCTTGCACGGTGAACCTGACCTGCATAAAGGAAGATACCATATTCTCACATTTCATCTCTTATCAAACCATACTATAACCCAAAAAAACACAATTATGCTAGATTCATTTTCTGATTTCTCATTCTTTTTGCACAAATTTTGCTATCAGAAACTTGACAAATGCAATCAGGAGTACCAAGACTAGCAGCAGCTATTGGTTCATAATCAAACCGATCAAAGATATCTCCCACAGGAGCACCAAGCTCTTCTTCAACAATAGAAATAGCTGTATCTGAAGGGAAAGGAGGAACTTGATCCTGAAATTAGATTAAGAAAAGATAAGCAACTGCGAGTGATTGAGAAACGGAAACGACAGACAAAATTGGCTCTACTTTCAGTAGCTGATTGTATAAAACAGTATACAGTCTGAATGTGCATTCTTGTTGATATTAAATTAAAGAATTTCCAACCTGAAGTTCTGACAATTGATCAACATATTCTTGAGCAAGAATGTCCACCCTTGTGGAGAACTGCTGGCCAATTTTAATGAATGTTGGACCTAATCTCAAAATATTCTCCTTAAGCCACTTGGCAAGTGCCTTACGCCTCAAGGTTTTCTTCTCCTCTGTCATTCCCCCTGCACATATCCTTTTAAATTAGATACAAGCACTAAAAAATACAGTCTGCCTGCCTTACGAAAAGAATTCTAGATTCTAAATAAAATTCAAAATATTCCGAGAAGAATTAATTCCTTTGAACCATTTATTTATGAGAAAGACCAATAAATATTAGGCAGTGTGCATACAATGCCCAAACTGCTCAAGCTCATCCACCATTTTTCTCTCACTTAGTATTGTATGGTTGATTCAAGGCACTGCCATGGGGGCAGCATTGCATCCAATTTTTTTATATTCTTTTGCTTGAGAGTTTTCCTATGGAAATTCCCAGATGACATGGATGCTACTGTGGCTCCGCCACCCTCAGTTTTTATAAATGTCTTTTACATACTTTCACAGAATTATAGCTAAGAGAGTTGGGGTAGACACCGTCAATCTGCCTTTGTAAAAAAGGAAGGTACATCGCAAAATTCAGAGAAAGAGGAAACCACAGATCACCAAATGCAAACTATATCCTGCAACCTCTCCTGTTTCCTCACTGCTGAAAATAGGATATAAAATATATACCCCATATTTTTGTTCATAGATACAACCAACAACAGAGCCATCACACTCACTTCGAAGTAATGCTATCAAAATTAGCTTCCAATAACAACTTGTCACAAAGCTTAAGAAAGAGAGCAATTTCAACCTCCCATTTTGCACATAAACATGACTATTACTAGTACCATTGAATAACATTTTTAGCCCCCCTACTTTAATTATAATGCTACAAGGATTTACCATTCCGGAGCTATAATCCAGATCATAAACTTGTACCATGTACAGTACTCTAGCCTTCAAAATCATGTGAGATGGTGATGGAAGCCAAGCATTTGTTCTTAACTATTGAAAAGGGATATAGAATGTCTGGTACCAGGTACCAATTGGGACCTGGTACCAAAACCAAACAATCTTTATCTGTTTTCAAAATTCAAGGAGAAAGGATTGGCTTCCACCACTTTATTAGATTGGTACATTACAAGGCACGTCATGATTAAATTTTTAAAATTGTGCTGAGTATCTTTAAACCTGACAACAGAGGAAGAAGTTCTGAAGAAGAATACTTGTTCCTAATAGATTGTAAAATTAGAAGGAATTTCCATGGGAAGTGGGAATCAAGCTCTACACTATTATTACATGGGCTTTGCAAGGGCTTCTTAATATTTCTTCCATTTTTTGGTTTACTCACATGGAAAGCCAAAATGAAAAACTCATGTATTTGACTTTGGAAATTTCATTCTACAGGAAGTGACTAACCTCGATAAGTGAATTTTTGATTGTCTAACCAAGCCTTTATAATGAATTTTAGAACAAATCCCCATATTTCCAAGGTCCTCTGGATTGTCGAGTAAGTTTTAAATCTACTCCAACGGCCACCGGGTGCAACAGAGACCTGTAAAAACCAAAAAGTACCATATTACTTTGGCACGTGTGTGCACATATTCAAACTCAAAATACAAATGAAGCAACCAACAAATTTATAAAAAGAAGCGATTTCAATGTTATACAGCCAACTCAAAGAAACACGGCTATATAGAGTAGATTCTGGCTCCACATACAAGACAATATTAGCAATAAAGTACGAAATGAATCTATTTGTCACTAATGCATGAATTAGAACCAATGTATTAAAAGCGTAAGGTGTGGGCGAGGCGTCCGAGGGATAGCCCAGCCTAGGCGTGAGGCAAAGCCTCACGGGACCTAAATTTTTTAATATATACACTGAGCGTACACATATATTATATTAAAAAAGAAGAAGATTATTAATCAATAATCACCCTGAGCACACACATATATTATAAATACATATACACACATATATATACATATATTATATATATATATATATATATATAATAGAGGATGAAAAGCACAATGAGCACACATATAACAATGCACGTAGAAGGCACACACATCCATTGTATAAAAAATAAAAATCAGAAAACAAGGCAGAGAGATGATAGTGCAAGGAAGAGGTATGAGGTAGTTCAAACCCTACCCAAAATTTGGGTTTGGGAGTAAAATAAAAATAAAAATAAAAAAAATATCCCCTGAGGCGCGCCTAGGTGGCTCCGGCGGCGCCTTCCGCCCACTCCCTCAAAACAGAGGCAGCAACCCTCAAGCCCAGCCTCACAAGGAGCCTAGGCGATCCTTTTAAAAAAACATTGATTAGAACTCTAAAAGAGATAAATGATCCCCTTTTAAGATTTGCATGAACCATTTTTTATTTTCAGTTTCTATTTTCACTTGTTAAACATCTTTCATCCTATCCTTGTCCCATAAAACTAGGCCAGCTTCAGAGTTGCCTAAACCATAAAAGCTATTAAACCCTAAAAACTAAGGCTTGAAATAACCGCAAAACAGTAGCTATAGAAAATGGTAATATTGGTAACCCTAGTGAACACACACACATATATCATGTAAAAAATATGATCTCCAACATTATTAAAAAGAAAATATATCTCTGTCATTGGCCCCACTACCACTATAGGTTGCTCAGTTTTATTTTTCTCCAACAATCTGCACATTATACTTGCTGCATCTCTTAATACTACAACCAATCCACACATCTGTATTTCATGTATACTTTTTCTGGTGTTGTAGTAGATGAGGAAAAAAACAACTTTTGACCACTTAACATAGCCTACCAACCACATCAATAACATGATCCATTAGACTGCTAATAGTACTTTCTTCACTATGACAAAACCACCTCAATTTTACTGATGTAACAGCGTGTTCAAAACCTCTCTGTGAATTAGAATTCTAGTCCTCAAGTCCAAATGAAGATCAAAAAAATTTCTGTTTGTGCAAGCAAACCAATTAAGATTTCAACTAAAATTCCAAAAGACCTACATCTACGATCTACATTCCAAATCAATGTCTTGTTACAAACTGCACCAATATGCATACTCGAATTCAAAAGTTGAGGTTCCACCCTAAAACCAATTGGCAATATAGAGAGTAGCCCAACTTACTTATACGCCCATGCAAGGTCCTCCTCTCATCAATGTGGGATTCATTCTCAACAATACCAACTTGTTACTTGTTATAGTGTGAGCATCCAACCCTAAACCAATTGGAAATGAGTGGAGAGGTCCGCCCAAGATTATTTAAACTACTACATAAGACTTTAATTCCTCAATTTGGAATTCATACTCTCAAAATAACTTAGCACAAACACACAGCGCTCCTTTAAAGACAATTGAATAATAAATCAACATCACGCAATCATACCTCGACTTTTGGTAGCCCGCTTTGCTTAAACCACGCATCTTCCTTTCCAATTTCCTCAATATTCTTCCTCCTTCCTTCCTCCTTCGTCTCCAACACTTGAACTCCTTCCACCACTTCCGCTGCCACTCCATTGCCATTCACGAACTTCACCAAGCTCCCGTTAGTCGCCCCATTAGCACTGCCATTGGAGTAGCTGTTGACGGAGCCATTGGACCTGTAATCGCTACCACTAGTACTAGCAGCAGCGCCATTACCACCCAACTCGACACCATTGACTTTGTTGATCGTCTCTTCAACTACGAGGCCATCCTCTTTAGTCGCTCTGATTCGGGATCGAACACCGCCCCTAGGGTATCCAATAAGAGAGAATCTAGAGAGAGAAACTCCAGAGGTAGAAAGGCGGCGTTTGGGAGTGGTTTGTGGTGAGAGAAAGGTCAGTTCCAGTAGAGGTAGAGAACAAGCAGCCATTGGGGAGAAAGAATCGAGAATTTGATTAAAACCCTAATCCCCAATTTTCATGCCAGCAAGAGAGAGAGGGGGAGAGAGCGAAGCAGCAGAAGAAGACAGACAGACAGACAGACAGACAGTCTGTTTTGGAGTGAGGAAGGAGATGAAAGTGAGAGAAACGAACGAAGAAGAAAAGGGAGGGAAAGGGTGGAGGTGGGGAGAACACGTGGCAAGTACTCGGATGAGTGTTTTCAAGAAGGAGGCTTCTCATTGGTTGAAAGACTCTCGCGGGCTGTAATCCGCCACGAGATTATTGTCATGGAAGGTTTCTGGCTGACGTATCAGTCCGAGAAATTTGTGACTGCAAACATTCGGGCCTTACAACAACAATATTGGATTTCATCGAGTTTGTGCAGACGTGGGTTTAGCTAGTTTTGTACCAGTACTTTACTTTTGCATTCAAGTTCAAATTCTTTTTTCCGTAATTTAGATGAATATATGATTACTTTGATCTTGGCAGTGCATGTAGCATGATAGTTTTTTTATTTTTGTTTCCATCGAATTTCGACCCACAAGGCAAAGGCTTTACCATTACCATTGTCGCGTTGGATGAGTTCTGACATTTCTGGAGGAAAACAGATTAAACCGCGCTCATCCAGCGATGATAATCAATGCGGTGACAGTCTTCTCCATCACTTAAGGAGCAAAAGAACTTTCAAATATATATGCCAAAATGAGCCCATGGACTTGGTGCAACCTCATGTAATTGTTCATCCAGCATTTCTCTTCCGGAAAATCCTGAAGACACCGATTCACATTAGCTTTTTAATACCAAGTGATGTTGCAGTTGCTTACTAGTTGCAAATCAATCAAGTTCACAGTTGGTTCTCGGCAATTAAATAAGTCTTCCACGTCTAGAAATGAGATACATTTATTTTAAATTAGCACACGAGCTAGGCTACTAATACAAATCTCTCGCTTCTTAATCGTCCAAAACTAAATCCTTACTCCTAATCATACAAATATGAGATTCCGATATCAAGAGGGAAACTGCCTGATTTATATTCTGGGCATAGAAAGCAAGTGCAGAAGAGCGTTTTGCAACAACATATCCTGCATCATCACTGACTTGGTTACTTGATGAAGCAATCACCTGTGACGGAACTTGGGCCGCACTGTGATTACACCTGGTCTCAACTCCTCAAAACGATACCTGCAATATAACATTTCATCGTTTACACAACAAACTAAACAGTGCCAATGCCAGCTTATTAGACCCGAAAAAAAAAAAACTAAAGAAAGATGCATCACCCATTCTCGTTAAGGAAACTTCTCACAGCTGTTGGAAGTGCAGCCTGTCCTCGGCTATGATTACCTCTACCTACATGTATAAACAGAGAAATCAGGGTTGCATCCTGTAACCATCCTCCCCCACCCCACCCCCCAAGACACGCACGCACCGAGAAGGAAAAAAAAAACAATGTAGTGCCACATTTTTCATTTAATCCTCTAACAAGCATTGTATTGATTCCAGAAAGACTGTTTTCCCATCTTGCCAAGTAATGACCAAGTTCCAGCAAACATATCATTAATGAGTAGATGAATTTAGGGCAAGCAATGTTCATTCCTCTTTGGGATTGTTTCCATAGGAAGCGGTTTTTTTTTGTTACACTTTTGTTAAAAGCACATAAATTTTGAATAAAACACAACCGCATCCAGCATCGTCACAGAGTGCTTCCTGACGAAAGAACTGAAAGTGATTCTCTAACTTATGTTTTCTGTAACTTATATTTCTAGTCGAACATTACCTAAAGTGGTTTTGGTTATTCACTAGCTTTTTCGCCCTGCACAAGGAACTTTCACACACACACACAGTGTTTGGATGAGGAAATTTGCAGGTACCAAAGGGATTTGGAATAATTAGTTCGAAATGAACTACAAACATTAGATAGAGGGATTTAAAATGACTTTAAAACCACACTTATTCTCTACAGTCCTTAACCCAAAATTCAAATAACCTGAAACATTTACCTTGGCCCTTCAAATCAACCTGAAACCGTGGAAAAAGCTGATGCCTAGTTATATTCCAACCATCTTTCTGTCAGCCCCTATTTTTTCCCTTAAGTTTAAAACCTATCAATGTACATCCATGATTTTCCAAATCCCTACCCCCAACATACAGCATATGTTTATAAAGATTGTCCTAAATGATATTAAGTTTTAACCTATTTGCTTCCATTTAATGATAATATTTTCCCTAGCAGATAAAAAAAAAAGGCAAACAAATAAGTATGTCCCAATTATCCGATGTCAACATAAAATAGAGATTCTAGAATTTTGATGCATGAAGATAACTTTAAATTCCGACATTATTTACCTATGTCATCTGAAATTATAAATTCAATGAATGAAACAATATACCTGTGATGATCTCTAAGGATGCTGGTCTTTGCGTTGATGATGCCTTCTGTTGATCCAATTTCTCTCTGTCCTTACAACTAAACGACTCAAGTGATGAAGAACGTATAATCCTCTTTTCCATCTTAACTCTGTTTGGTGACACAGAGCAATTAGATAGCTCTTTTGTTTCAATTTGCTGCAGGTGTTCGTGCAAGGCTTGAATTGCTTCTGATGCATGAAGGCCATGTAAATCCAATTTCCATAAATCATTTTTGCTATTCTTGATCCTTAAAATTTCTTTGGCTGCCTTCTTATTGAGGCTTTCAGCAACCAACCGTTCCTCTTGAGCCTTCTTTGAGTGTTGTTGGGCGGAAAAATGGTCACCTCTAACAAAGGCATGAGTGGCTGCCTTAGAGTGCTGTGATGCTGACCTTTTTATTTAAGAAAAGAAAATTTTCAATGCTACGACATAGTATGCAAAAACATAGGTTTTTCAAGAAGCACGACATATCCTGCAGAACCAATGCTATGACATAGTTTAAAAAAGCCGACGAAAACAGCAAGATAAAGTACAAAATTCTGTTGTGAAACCTAAGAAATGTTCATATGAGAAGTGGCAACAAGCACAAGCTGTATAACTTGGGTGGATGACTAAACAACGAGACTGGCAACACGAAAAGAAGGCAGCATAAGAACAAAAAATTATGCCAAACAGGGAGGGAAAAACACAATTGCCACTGCTTAATAGTCATATCCTGCAAGTTCATGAACAGAAAGCATACCTCATCATCCTTAATGCATCTTTTCGATGCTTCAAGTAAACATCATCCTCTTCCCACTCAGGTTCGATGGGTACAGACTCCAAACTCCCCAGAACCAGCTTCCTATTTGCTGCATCATTAGCAAGCTTTTGCACACCGCAATCATCACCAGTTAACAATTCTATCTTATTCTCTTTGAGACATTTTTGAATCGTAGAGTTAAGGTTAGAAATGCCAGAAGGAGATTGAGGAACAGATTCTCTATCACTTAAAGAGACATTTGAGCTGGAGTTGTTTTTTTGAAATGCTAGTTTGGTTATTCTCTCCACAGCTGCCGGAGGAAACCATTGTTTCAATAAAATTGAGGCCTTATCTATATCATTATCCATTGCAACCATAATATCCTCAATCAAGAAATCGTCAGCCCAAGGGTAAAGATCCATGATCTTCCTCATGGAAGATGCATTATCTTCCACGGAAGTGTACTGTTTCCCACTGGAATCGCCATCTAATAAAGGTTTTTTCCCAACCCTATTCTCTGCCGAAGTTGGACAATCTACAGATGGGAGGAGTAGAGTTGAAAAGGGCCTGCCCGGAAGGTCATTAATCCTCGGTACGTTTTCACGAGGATGTAGAGAAGTTAGAGTGGTCGGTATAGTTAGGAAAGGATCCTTGTAAACTTGAGGCTCGAGGTCTTGTTTCTGGCGCTGCTTGAGGTCAAAGGCAGCCCAACCACCAGACTTATCTCGAGCCCTTGACATCCGCCTACATGAACATGTATAGAATTTAAGACTGAACCAAAAAAAAAAAAAAAAAAAAAAGAAGAAGAAGAATATAAGCAACAGTCATCACAAACTAACAGCATGATGTAAAAAGCTTCATCAGTAGAGGTTACTTTGCTACCAACACAAGTCCGTAACTTGCACCGAACATACAAAGAAACTGGAGGGTATTATATCGAAAAACTAGCATGAAAGTGATTATGCAGCTCGAAATTTAACAACTCAAATTCATGTTCATCTCAATACACAATCAAAATTCTGAATACTTGTGTGAAAAAGCCGCAAATGGACGAAAGGTTTCCAAAAGTTATATATAGAAAATAAGAATTTCAAGCGCAAAAGAAAACTAAAAAAAATGAAAAGAGAGATGAAACCCATGAATTGGAATGAACAGAGCATCAAAAAAGTACCTTCCTTTATATATAAATATGAAATCCGAGAATTGAGGCGTTCATCGATCCGACGGCTGATACTTGGAAAGGATTGCAGGAAATACGACGACTTTCTTGGCTGATTCCCGCGGTCCAATTTCGTATCACGTATCCATAAATCCACCTGAGATTTGCAGAAATACAATCCCACAAGGACAGAGAGAGATTCTTCTAGCTGAAAAGCCTTTCTAATTCTTCTTCTCTCAAAAGATATCAGAGAGAGAGACCAGAAAGCGGCGGAAGAAGTACGACAGGCACAAAGAAAGTTTCTTTTTTTTGTTTAACAGGAATGCCAGCAACTGTGGTATATATGCTTCAGAGGTTAAAAATTGAACTTGAACGCCAGTAAGGTTTTTGGTTAAAGAGTATTGTTTGGTTGATACTTTACGTATATTTTGTACCCTTTTACTGGTTTTATATTAAAAATTGTTTTATTTTTTCAAAAAAGGGACTCTTTCAGGAATTGAAAAAACTCTGAGCCATTTTAAGTTTTGCTAACTATCATCGTGTGATTTACCAATAGTAGGAATCTAATTCAGGATGTATCATGTAAAATACGAGTCTAGAGTTAATCTCCAACTACTAAGCCACCCGATGATGATTTATATTCAAAATTGTTGAGTTTAATGTGTTTTTGTGCGAGTTTTGTTAAGAAAAAAACTACCAATCACACACGTTTCACGTGTTCAACTAAATTTGTTTTTATTTTACTCTTACTTAATGAGTAAGGAATGAGGATTCTCTCTAGATCCTCTTTGTGATAATCCCGAGAATCCTCCAATCACATTCATTCATCATATATCTTGC